TTATCTCTTTGGTATACCTTGTACCCTATCTAGTCCCATCACTAAATCAGAACTTCAGCCTGCAGATAATGATATCTCTACCAGCCTCTGCTTTATATTGTGCTAAGTGCATGCTACCACGCAAAACTGAGATAGTGAAATTGGTGAACATTGTACTTGATTAACAGCTTCATGATAGCACTGTCATTTAAAGCATGTTAGCATGCTTGTGTTAGCTAAGAGCACTGCTGTTGCTAAGGTCTGAACTGCTAGCATTGCTGTAAACTGTCTTGTTTCCATCTAAAATGGATATGTAATATGTTTCAGCATTATCAAACACTTTTTGAAGCAGTGACCCCTGTCTAAGTACAGAAGAACTTGATGAAAATGGCTCATGACAAAACAGTGACCCTCAGCCTTCTGCACTTCAGTAGCCCATCAGTGAAGCACTCACAGCAGAAATGAAGGTTTACTTCTCAAACCTCCTAAACAGTGAGGCTAGAAGGAGGAGCGACCTTCAGACCTTGGTCAATTTTTCTCTTTTTGTTTTGTCAGGCCGGCTGCAGGCTGCTCTCCGTCGTCTAGCTGGTGTTCCAATTTTGATTCAAAACAGAGACACGGCAAGTGAGCCAGGCTGAAATATTATGCTCAAACACACAAATGCACACATTCACATGAACAGTTGTTTAGAGCTTCAACACACTGCCACTGACTTGTGAAACAGCATTCGTGACACTATCCACATTTTATTTATTCCCGTCTCACTGTAAATTGTAGATAAAACATTTTTGTTGAACTCTATAACCTTTACTGAAATTCTTTGCATCGGGTATTTCTCTCCAAGTTATTGGGGTATGTTGGGGTGGGCACTTTTAAAGCCAAGAACCTCTGCCACAGCAAATAATAACCATGCAAGCAACAGCGGAGAATTTGCTTAATTGGATTGTTTATGATGAAACAGTGTACTTTTTTGAGTGATGTGGTTGTTCAATAAATGTGTAGCTGTTTGCTCGTAAGATTTTCATGATTTTCCATTTATTAAACATATTTTTGCTAGATTTGTTTTATTTCAACAGGATCAAAGTGACATTTATTCATTTTTTTCATTATATATTTGAATAATAGCTTGTTCTAGCAAGTGTTAGGCCTTTTCCCTGTTCTAAATTTGAAACATCTCCTTTGGGTCAGTATTTCATACAATGGACATCTCATAAGTATTTTTTTATCTTGAAATAAACCTGAATATGTCAAATATGTAAGGCACATGCTGGGACTGAAGTATCAATCAGTGCAAGCTTCCGCCACACCTTTATCAAACACAGGCGTAGTGCTCACTGTTGCCGCCGCACTCCCTTCAACTCCTGAGCCGTCACACTAACGGTGACTGATCAGCTGACTGAATATCTACCTGAAGAATGAATGCTGTGACTTCAAAGATCGGCTCCCCATGCAGTTTAAAAACAAGCTCTCCCTGCCATGTTCCACGCCAGACTGAAGAGCAGAGACAAATGTTCACTTCATCTGTTAAGTATTCTCACTTCTCACTCCAGCACCATGATGCAGGCCAAAGAACAATAATCTGTTTTCAACCTTATATTGGTCTTTGAAAGCTGTTTGTATCAAAATGGTGTGTGATACAACATTTTATTGTAGTGAAGTAATTCTGAGCTTCTTATTATTTATTAGTATGTCGGCACAAAAAGATGAATGCTGATGCACCATATTCATATATTTCCATTTTGTCTTCTACTTCCTGGCACGCAAATTTGTTATATTCTATTTTTGTTCAAGCAGCTTATGTACCCTGTCATGAATTATATTGGTTTAAAATTGCTTTAAGCCTCACTCAAGTTTTGTGTTTTTTTACAGCTGCGAGCATTAATCATAAATGTGGTCGGTCCGTCACCATACATGGTCCATCCTTGTTCCGTTGCATTCCTGCATGCAAATTCTGATTAATGCATGTCTAATCTATTCCTATTTCTCTGTGGTGGCGGTGGCTTGCCTAACTACGTGCTTTCATGCAAATTAAGGTAACATGAAATTCAGCCAACCTGATGGTTCCGCAGCTATAAAATGCACAACCACGGACTAGAGACGCGAAGACAGACATAATATAACTTGCATTCATTCTGATGAAAGAATGGCAAAGACCATAGTGTATACTGTGTTTAGTGCTTCTTCTGATTTAAGAGGGTATAACTGGTGGTGGCTTTTTATGGGGGGAAACTACCTTTCCTTAGGCCAACAGGAAGACATCTTAATTTCAGTATTTTGCTACAAATTATTAAACCAGTGTTGAGGTTTTTATAACAAAGTCTGAATTAGAAGTCACTTTATGTACAGACATGGCTCTACAACTTAACATAACGCTCTTCAAGGAACAGAAAGGGATCCCGCCACTTGGAAAATAGTTGGGTTTTAAGGTAATATATTAAGAATGGTACATTTGGAAGGGTCCCCAATCTGTGTCCGCAGCTGCAACCGTACGATTTTGTGTTTAATTGAAGTTGGCTTGAAATAAAAATGATTTGACAGCATTTGTTTCTCCCCTGTCTGCATAAATATACTTTGCTAGATGGACCTTTCTATTGTAAATGTATGGAAGAAATGTTTGGATGGAGTGTAAACATTTCTTTTTGTTTTATTTCTGCTTGACTTTTCTTCCGCATATATTTCAGCCTAAAGAGGAAAAAATCCTTTCAGATTTAAAAAAATAATTCATCGTAGCAAAATGCTGATGAGGTCAGTTCCAATTTCATCTGTATGAAAATGAACAGAGAACATTCCTTGGTCTCCCTGCTGTATAAACTGAATACTGGATGGCGCCTCTCCAGACCAGAGTCTCTATATGAACTTGCCTCCTTGGCTCTGAGCCACACTTGTGTAACATATCATACACACTATAAAGGCAGCATCATCACAACTAGACAAAACTTGGCCTTACATACTTTATGGTGTCAAACAGGCCTTCTGAAGGCCTGCATCAGTTCTGCGTTAATCAAAACCTCACCCCTTCGGTGAGGAGGGGCTGCCGGGGGACTTAAATAAAATATAAATTATAACAAAAAATTATAATAAATACAATTTTAATCAATTATAATAATAATAATAAAAAAATGAAAAAAATTCACACAAAATTATAATGATAATAAAAAATGACAAGTAAAAATACAATTTATATCAATACATAAACAATGAATAATTAAATAATAATTCATATTGATAAAATATTAATAATCTTTAAATACATAATATTAAAAACAATAATAATAAAATAATACAAAAACGAAAACAATAAAATTATAATTATAATAATTAAAATAATTAAATAAAATGATAAGGAAATAAATAAAATAATACATAATATAATCATATAAACTAACTTGGATAAAAATATATTAAGATATTTAATGTGATTTTTTTTAACATAAAAAAATTAAGAAAGGAAAATAAGAATTAAATACAATTAAAAAGAAATCCTTGATGCAAAAGCTTTTATACCTTAAACAGATGTTATCAGGGTAGTAAACCCACCAGGGGAAGTGTTAGGAGACGTGTGAAGTGATTATTTTCTTTGAACATGCTTCAGACTGAGGTCAGGGCCGCCTAGCTCATTACGGACACAGAAATACATACATAAATTAATGTAAGTGAACGTAAATGTAGAAATGTATTAAAGATTTATAATAATGTGTGTTCTGTTTTATTCTCAACTTTTATGTATTTATCCATACATTCATTTATTTTTTTCCATATTTATTTATTATTTTATTTATTTATTCCTGTATTCATTTCCACATTTATTTATTTATACATTTATTTATTAGTCTATTTTCTTGTTCCTGTATTTATTGCCGTATTTATTTCTTTATTCATGTTTTTATTCATACATTTATTTATACTTACGTCCTCCATATATGGGGAGATCGGGATCCTCCCCCAGAAGATTTATAAGTTATACTTTTAAAAAGCGGTGGGGACCAAATTGGCAATTTCTATGCACATGATAATACCCTAATATGTATTGTATTGCACCCTCTTCTGGAATTCAAATAGTATGGCAATAGGAAATCATAAAAGGGCAGTAATTGAGCACCAGCTTCTGTTACATTAACCTGCTATTTCCCTATAGACACCTTAACAGCACGTCTATTTAGAGCAGGGGTGTCAAACTCAAGGCACGGTTTATTATACGGTTACATCATGCCGATTTACAGAAGCACGTTGCCCATAAACTACATGTCCCACAATGCATCTCAAATATGCTTATTTCTCAGAATGTTACTTTTTCTCCCCCCAAAAAAATTCACTTATTTTTTTTATTTTTCCAGAATTTGGCTTTTCTTTTTAAATCATTTTGTGACGTGCGCACTGAAGAGACTTGCAGTTATTTGCCCCAGACTTCTGCTTTCAGACATAGTTAATTATGAAGTTATTACCCTATCCGATAATAATCCAATGCAGAGGCAATACTATAATATAATACATTATTTTATATATATTAAATAATTATATATGTATTTTTATATAGTCTTAAAGTAACCGCCGGCCCTTTGAGTGCAACCACTGATGTGGCCTGCGATGAAATTGAGTTTGACTCCCCTGATTTAGTGCATTCTTGTACTTTTACAATCTATCATTTACATCTACAATTACAGAAATTCTACATTAAATTCAGAACACAATATAATATAACATACTAAACGTGAAGCTAATCATATAAATTCATTTTAAGAATTTCACAAAAGGCCTTTTTCTACATTATACAGTTATAACAGTGGAGCTCTCTGATAAAACAGCTTTTAATCATAGACTGTATATATAAAGCTTTTAATCAGTTAAGAAGAGTACAGTATACAGACATATATCTAAAATTAAACAGACACAGGTTAATATACATTCAATCAAACAAAGGGATTACAAATAAATTGAAAAACAACTAAATGAAATAAATATTCATAATGTAAACTGTCTGATTATTTGTTCTTCTTTTTTCCTCTGGTTGGTGAGCCGTCGCTCCTTTGATGACGTCCTTCCTGTTTCATCGTAACAACACGTGTGCGGTGTACAGTGTCGAGCGGCAGGGAATAACAGCAACTAAACCCCAGCTTTCACACACCGTTGTGTTTTCTTTTCATTTTCTTTTCGGTGTAGGCTTTGCCGACTAAACCGTCAACATGGTGAAGCCCGGATTCAAGGGGAAAAGCTCCATAAACACCTCGACGTCCAGCAGCAACCCTGGTGAGTTTGTTTACAGCTAATGCTACATGCTGCGAGCTGGGTGATATAATGCTCTTTAAAATACACACAAAACGGGTAGTATCCTTTTTTTAAACTAGTCGCTGATATTTAGAGTACAATGAGTCAAATGTAAACGCATAATTCATGTTGACTGAAAGATAACTGGCTATAGAAATGAGACACCATTTAACGTGAGGCCTTTTAAATGTGACACTGAACTAATTTCACTTCAGGGGGGTTTGTGTCAAGTGGACTTGAAAAAGCTGCTATTATTAATTGATGCATTATTAGTTTATTCCACTCATGGTGATTATTATGAAACTACACACGTACACTTCATAAAACAACACATGTACACTTTAAGCAGTTGTGTAGCCCATGATGGAAAGGAGCATGCATGGAGAAGACATTTTATTTGACCTGCCCCTTATTCAAAGATGACAAATAAAAATCGATGGTAGGTCACAGCTGCTTCAAATACTCCAAACCACAATCAAAAGTCAACACAACAATCTACCATCAGCCAAACAGGTTACCTGACATCTTCATAATGTCTAATGATTCTTTCTTTTATCATTTTCTTAAACCTAAACATGTCCCTACGACCCTTTAAATCATATGGTAAATATTAAAATTACACAGCTTAAAGTTAACTACAGAGATATACATCTGCTTTAACGTAGTCCGTGCAAACTGATGCTTAAAGTTACATTTCCTTATATGTTGCTCATGAAATGGTCTAACCATAAGATGTATTCACACCAGAGGTGGGAGAAGTACTCGGATTATGTACTAAAGTAAAAGTAGAAGTACCTGAGTGTAGGAATACTCTGTTACAAGTACAAGTCCTGCAGTCAAAATGTTACTCTAGTAAAAGTAGAAAAGTGTTGGCATCAAAATATACTTAAAGTACCAAAATTGTACAGATTGGCCAGTTTCAGAATAATATAATGTATGTTTTGATTATAATTATTGATCATTCAAGTGTTATCAAAGCTGGTAAAGGTGCAGCTAGTTTGAATGACTTTGTATACTGCAGGGTAGAATTTACTCCAGGTGGAACTAAAGTCCTATTTAAAGGTTGATTATAATTCACATCATTCATTTAAATCTGTAGTAACTAAAGGTATTAAATGAATGTAGTGTCAAAGTACATGATTCACTTCTGAATTGTAGTGGGGTAGAAGTACAAAGTAGCAAAACATTGAAATACCCAAGCCAAGTCCCTCAAACATTGTACTAATACAGTACTTCAGTAAATGTACTTAGTTACTTTACATCACTGCTTCCCAAATATCTCTGGCGTACATAAATAGATTGAATGTTTTTGTTGTTGAATAGATGAAAGTCTCTAACCCTACATGTATTCCACAGATCGAGTCAAAGGGGCTGGAGGCAACAACATGAGGGACCGAGCCACCATCAAACGTCTGAATATGTACAGGCAGAAGAAACGATGGTAATCCCTTGTGCATTATTCTTGTGAGATGTTTTATAGGCAGATTGTGTAAGTGCCAGATACATAACAATAATATTCCCACTGACAATGATGTTCTGTTCCCAGTAATGACCGTGGACAAGTCATCCGACCTCTATCGTACCAGTCCACAGTGGCTCCAGGGACTGTGGCCAGAGTGGAACCGAACATCAAATGGTTTAGTAAGTTCACACTCTCAACTGTTGTGTATGTTACAGCAGTATTCTCTTTGCCATTTGTCAGTATATTGTATTTGCTCTGTCTGGCTTTGTGGAGACGAACCACATAACTCAAAGTTTCTCTTCGGTGCATTTCCATATTTTGACTTTGGCTCCATATCATCCAATGTTTCTAAAAGTTATTAATAATAACATAAATGTTAGTGTTACGAGGCTCCCAACTAGTTGCTATAGCACTATAGGCTTGATGAGATTTCTATTAATCATTTTACAGAAAGATGGATTCTGTAAAGTGTTGGTAGCCTCTCTTCCATTGCACTTCCAGCGACTCGTCGATTTCTTTATAGTGACAGCCAAGCTAAAAGCTAGCGGTGCTGTGTCAGAGTTTATGTTCCTTTCCACCAGTGTTTTTGAGCTGTGCTTAAGGCAGCTGACGGCTGCTTCAAACCCAGGCCTAATTATCATTTCAATGTGATGTTCTTGTAATGGATCACTTATTTGAAAATGTTAAATACCTTGTATATCTCATCAGTGATTGTGAAGAGAAAATTCAAATCTGTTTCTTATTTCAGCAAATACCCGTGTGATCAAGCAGTCATCCCTCCAGAAGTTTCAAGAAGAGATGGGGAAAATTAAGAAGGATCCATATCGGGTGGTGATGAGACAGAGCAGACTCCCCATGTCTCTCCTGCATGATCGAGTCAAAGCCCATGTGAGTATAAAGGGCAGAATGCTGTATTTACTGTTAAGAAGGAAATATGTGCATAGTATGTGCTAGGGCTGCACGATTTGGGGAAATAATCTAATTGAGATTTTTCTGACAGATATTGCGATTCGATTTGCGATATTTGTTTTTAAGCGACCCAACGGAAGTTTATTGTAAAATGCGGCCATATCTCCGGCTAGGAAGGTCGTATCAACGTGCTCCCGTCTCTAGCACCCCCGCAGCCGGAGCTACGAGTGAAAGAACTAAACTTACATGAAGCTTCCATTGGGTTGCTTTAAAGTCAAGCTTCAGTTTAAGATTCACCCTGTAATAGAAACATGTGATGGAGCATTACTAACCTGACTCAGACGGTTTGGTGAAACAAACCATCTAGGAAAGCTCCATTGGAAGCCATTTGGAAAAGTATTTCAAAAATACTTGGCAGGTGATTGGATCAATCTGTCTATCACCTTCTATCATGGGCCACTTCTGATTGGTTAACAATGGCTGGTACATGTGGAGCACAGCACTTCTGATTGGTGTGGATGACTGACACACAAGAAGAACAAAACAAATGTCAAATCGCAGGCTTTGCGATTTGATAATTGCATAATTTAAAATCGCGATTTCGATTTTAAAATCTATTAATCGTTCAGCCCTAGTATGTGCATTTGTTGTTGTTGTGAATTAGCACCCTTTATACATTTTATTGTACATGTACTGGCATTTAAAGCTATCGAAATAAACACCTGGATTAAATTATTCAGTTCAAAATAGAATCGTGCCTCTGTTTTACTCGATGGCTTGTTTCTAGGAATGTAATGAGGTGTGATATACATGAACTCTCATTCTAATCCTAATTCAATTCTGACTCTGCTCTACTCTGCCCCTGTGAGTGTTCTGGCTCTGTGCTTGGCGCTGGAGAGTTGCAGTTTGCCAGCCTTTTACTTTTCCATCTCATAATCAAACACATAATCTTGTTTTCTCCAACATATGGGGTCCGTTTCAGTCTTTTTAGTTTTTATATACACTGTAGCTCCTCATGGAATTTGGAAGTTATTTCTCTGGGATTCTGATTTCATTCTTTAGCATGTATGTCTAATGATTGATTGACAAGTAGCCATAATAGCACATGTCATATTGCAATCACCGTCTTATCATTAGTTACACCCAGGTGTGTTCTTTCCGTTAACACTTTGATACAACACTACTAGGTAACTGAAAGCAATGTTTTTCAATCTGGATGTCGGACATTTGATTGGCCAGAATTTATTACGAAAACAGAGTTTGTGGGTCTGTTGGGGAAATGTTTTTCAAATAACCGGTAATGGATCTGGGCTGATAGTGAGGCCAACCTAAACTTTTACCACTAGTGTTTTTGACGAACCCATTGGTTCCCTTTCACCCCTCATGGATGTGTTGCAATCAAGCCGTGACTTCTGATCAAAATCATTGGAACACATAATCCCTCCTGGCACATGCTCGGCTGTTTCCTTGGCTTAGTTGTTGCATACCTTGGTGTTCTGTTCACTTTAGTTGCTTTTTGATACTGCTTGAATCCCCTGGAACGACTGTGTAAAGAATTGGTTGTAATATAGACTATTACCTTTCCTCTAGCTTATGTGTTTAAATACAACATTACTGTATGTGTCAGGTATCACTTTTGCAATCCATAAGTCACTTGTGGCCACATTTGCTTTTCATTCATGCTGTCGAAGAACACAGGTTGCCCAAACCCTCAAATCACAAAACCTCCACAGATATTATCCACCACAGGAAGGGACATTATAATATATAAGTAAGACTATATATTGGTAATGTCCTAACTTTTTTAGTAGTTTACTTTAAAGACATCATATGACTATTCATTTGAATGTAATCCTACTCTAGGCTAAATATGCAGTGTAGCTGTATTGTGAAAGGGGAAAAATGATAATAAAAACCATGAATAAAATACCGTTTTTAAATCCTTTTTCCTAATCTTGAACACAACTATTTGAACTGGGGCTCTCTCTAGGCTTACTGTTTGATTAAAAGAAACAGTCGGAGCTGTAAGTCTAATCTTTGTTTTTGTTTCTACACCTGCAGAACTCCAAGGTGCACATTCTAGACACGGAGAATTTTGAGACCACATTTGGGCCCAAGGCTCAGAGGAAGAGGCCCAGTCTGATGGTGGGGGACATGAAGGATCTCGTGGAGAAGGCTGAGTCCTCTGGCCTGACCTACAGTGAGGACAAGGACAAAGACCTGGTGGTCGAGGACACAGGGGTCCGGTAAGAGCCTCAGAAGATGCTACGAATAACATGGCATGCAACTAACAATGATGTTGATTATGAATTAATCTAATGTTAGAAAATAGTGACACCTGCCCATCCCAGTTTCTTGAAGTCTGAGGTTATGTCTTTGAAAATGTTCTCTTGTAAGTCCAAGAGCAGAACATTCTGAGGAGCTGAAAACCAATTTTCTAATTCAAAGATTACCAAATGAGTTAGCAATATGTTTCTCTGTTGACTTAATAATCCTTGCAGCTAATCATTAATACACTCTACTGACTATAATCACAGTTGTTGAATTGTCATACTTGAAGCTAGAAATGCTTAATTTCCCCTTATTTCTGCAACAGGGCGGAGGTACGTGACGAAATCTTCAAAAAGGGTCAGTCCAAGAGGATCTGGGGAGAACTTTATAAGGTATTGTTTCCATCCTCGTCTCAGCTCTTTGAATTGTGTCAATGTTGAGCGTGTATACCGAAGGGTCATTCTGCATTCCTCTCTGTTTTGACTTATATAGGTAATCGACTCTTCTGATGTCGTCATCCAAGTGCTGGATGCCAGAGACCCCATGGGAACACGCTCTAAAAGCATAGAGAATTACATGAAGAAAGAGAAATCCTGGAAACATCTGATCTTCGTTCTAAACAAGTGTGACCTCATCCCCACCTGGGTCACGGTAAGAAATGTGCAAAAATGTTCATATTTTGTTCAAGTGGGAGTGATTTGTGTCTGTTTTCTTATATGTGTTTTGTTTTTCTCCACTCAATTTGAAACCAGAAACGGTGGGTGGCCCTGTTATCCCAAGAGTACCCCACTCTGGCTTTCCATGCCAGCCTCACCAACTCGTTTGGTAAAGGCTCCCTCATCCAGCTGCTCCGGCAGTTTGGCAAGGTAAGCCAATGCCTCACCTTCAAAACATATGTGTGATTAGTCAAGAGCAGATACACATTTACTGCTTCAATAACAACCCCAGATACAATTGATAGTTCTGTCTTTTTGTCACTGATCTTATTTTTCAGTCAGTGGAATCATTTTAAGTGCAACAGAACTATGTGTTTGCTTTTTTAATGTATTATTTATTTACTGATTTATATTACTTGCTATCATTTTGTATGATAGTGTTTGGGTTTTCTTCTCTGTAGTCCTTATTTTATTATATTATAAAGTATTATTTATTATTTCAATTTTACTATAGAATAGAATAGGGAGGGATGAAACCCCTCTTTAATGGTCACACTTGCAGAGCACACAGCACACAGTGAAATGTGTTCTCTGCTTTTAACCCATCCTAGTACCAGGAGTCTAGTACTAGGAGCAGTGGGCAGCTATTGTACAGCGCCCGGGGAGCAATGGGAGTGAGGGGGGAAGGGGGGTGTCCGGTGCCTTGCTCAAGGGCACCACGGCAGGGCAGGAGGTGAACTAGGACCTCTCCAAGTAGCAGTCCACGCTCCATTTTTAGTGTGTCTGGTCGGGGACTTGAACCGGCGACCCTACAGCTCCCAGTCCAAGCCCCTACTGACTGAGCCACTACCGGGAATAATTACAATCCATATGATAATTCAGAGCTCCTCAGTAAGGAAAGGTTTATATTAAAGCTGCTTTTATTCTTTTTGTCATGAACATCCTATTTTCACATTTTCAAAACCCTCATTACGTTTGAGTTTAGTTACCTGATGATAATAATAAACAGACATTAATAAAGGTTTTCTTGACCTGAACAAGAAACATGACGCAGTGGCTAAGGAATGGAACGGATATGTGAAAGTGGGGCTTTAAAGATCTAAAAGGTCAAGAAATCAAAAGGGTTTTATATTCGTGTTGGATTTAATTTGACATAACAGACAGTGTACTCTGTTGCACCACATTCACCCAGAATTCGTGAGACAACAAAGTAAAATAGCCTGTTCCAAAACAGCATTTAGGGTTTACCTCCAGGGATATGAACAAATATCCCTTGTTTTAAAAGGTTGCGTGATTGTTGTGTTTACATAAGAAACCCTTTTTAAGATATCCTTTGTGTTTTGAACAAACTACATTGTAGTTCTGGACTTGTGACAAGTTCACTTGGTTTATTGCAAATGGCAACAGAGACCCATCTACAATTACTTCAATGGAAACACAACCTTCTGACTTTTCTTTGTCTCCCACAGCTCCACACTGACAAGAAACAGATTAGTGTGGGTTTCATTGGCTACCCTAATGTGGGAAAGAGCTCGGTCATCAACACCCTGCGGTCTAAGAAAGTCTGCAATGTGGCCCCCCTCGCTGGAGAGACCAAGGTGAGTGTCATCTCAGCCACGCAGACCTCTGACATGCAACCGTGCAAAGTGACCAATGGAATATGTGCCTCGTAAAGAGAAATGATAATAAGAAAGAAAGTCATAATCAGGTTTGACTTTACACTCACGACAATGTTAAGAATATGAAAAGAGTACATAAACGCTACTAGAAAAAGGTATTGGTGCAAAAAGACGTTATGTGAGTGGAAAGGTGAGACAAGCTTTGGCTCCAAGGGAAGGTTATGTGAGGTGAAAATGTGTTTTTCCTCCTTCTTGGTTATTATTTATAGCTGGAACAACAGAAGTAGTTGATACTGAGTTGTTAACTACATAACTGAAAAGACTAACAGGAGAAAGAACAACAAGCCTTTTATCCTTATCCTGTTTGGAAGAAAGAGGGTGTGAAAAGCAGTGTCTACAAAAGGAGAGGGATCTTGAACACCTTGCCAATGAATCTGATGGGCCTGTGGCCAACACTCCTTTATCGCTCACCTTGTCTTTGATTCTCACCTCACAGTCAACGCTATTTAACAGCGAAAACAGTCTGATGATCCGCAGCACCGCTGTGACCCTCACGCTCCCTTTTGTTATACCTGATATGTGTTTATGTTTCAGTTGGACGTTTCATTACCGTCCTTCTGATGAACCAATATTGGAAAAGGTTTTGTGTGTAACATAAGACAGAAAAGGGAAGCCAAACAGTCTCTGCTGAGCTCCATCAAAAGATAATGTTCAATAATGTTTCGCTTCCCTTATCTGAATAGTTGACTTTCTTTTTATATCATTAAATACCAACAAGGTCAAGTCAAATCACACATTATTGAACATGGCATGTGAAGCGGAAATATTTAGATTCTACAGATAACATTAATCTTCTTCCTTTTTTAGGTGTGGCAGTACATCACTCTGATGAGACGCATCTTCCTCATTGACTGTCCTGGTGTCGTCTATCCGTCAGAAGACAGCGAGTCTGATATCGTCCTGAAAGGAGTTGTAAGTCTCCCTTATATTTTTGTTTTTGTTTACCAAGGTATTGTGATATTTGCCTTTTGTTATACTTATGCTATCACTAGAATACAAGTGAGGTGAATTCAATTTCAATTGTTTTCCTAATAACATCTGATCAGGCGAAATGTCAAAGTTGCAAAGATCTGGCTTTTTGAAGCATAAGCTTGCTTTTAATAAGCTTGTTTAGATAATGCTTTAATCTGATCCTCCAGATGCCTTTTCCAGTTATTGGGGTTTAACATGGAGGCCATGCAGTCCCCGTAAATGAAACGTTTGCAGGTCCATCTTTTTCACATCTTTTCCCTCATCACAAAGGTTCAAGTGGAGAAGATCAAAGTCCCGGAGGAGCACATCGGGGCAGTGTTGGAGCGGGCTAAGCCAGAATACATTCAGAAGACGTACCGCATCCCCACCTGGAACTCTGCTGAAGACTTCCTGGAGAAGCTGGCCTTCCGCACCGGGAAACTTATGAAGGTGTGCATGTTCCTTTCATTTGTCTTGCTTGCAGAACATTAACTGTCTGTACTTACAGCTGTTAATCGCGTACGTTTTAATTCTATTCATTTTTTTCATAAAAACGTAGCGAATAATTCCGGTTAACAAGCAGTGAATATGGTTATCAATAAGACTTCGTTATCAGTACGAGTCATACATTCAGTTAAAGCATTTGTGGATATTCAACAAATGTTTCCTATGATATATTAAAAAGTGTCCATTTTTTAGGAAGTCCAACAGTGAATCCTTATTTAAAGGTGGGGTAGGTAATTTTGGAGAAACCAGCTTGAGTGTGCTAGAATTTGAAAATACACAGCCGGAAAAAATCTGCCACTTCCTTACAGAGCCCCTCCTCCAACACACACGAACGCGCACATGACCAATGAGGGCACGAGATAAGTTTGTGCCCCGATGGAAGGCTGACCGGCAGGTAGGCCATCCAATCATTTTAGCCGGGCCGGCTAAAATGATTGGTCGTACTTTTTACAGTGCTACGGCTTCCACAGATTACATTTTTTTATGGATTTTTTGTCAAAGCATTTAAGATATTCATTGCTTTCGGGATGTTAAGAGCATTCCATGGAATATAACAAAAAGTGTATCTCAAGCCGGTTTCTCAAACTTACCGACCCCACCTTTAATACAAATGGTTTATTTTAAGCTGAATAGCAAATGTAAAAGTCTGTTTTGAGTCCTAAACTAAATCAATGTATTCCCGTTATTGTACAGGGCGGTGAGCCGGACATCTCCACAGTCGCCAAAATGGTGTTGAACGATTGGCAGAGAGGACGTATCCCCTTCTTTGTAAAACCCCCCGGTGTTGATGGGGAACACGAGGTGAGACTTTACTGAATTCTCCACCTGTGGTTGATCAGTGAACGGCATTTTGACTGTGCCTTATGTTGTTGACCTGTGTTGTGTTTCTGTATTTCTCTAGGGCAAGGCGCCAGTGCCAGTTGAAGGCCCCTCAGAGGCAGTAGAGGTTGTGATGGAGGAACAGACAGACGATCCTGCTGCCGTCCCGGAGGAACAGGACGAAAAGCTGCAGAGACAGAAGGAGCGGGTCCAGAAGATTATCTCTAGTGTGAAACAGAACTTCGGGAAGATCAACGTGGCCCCAGAGTTCAATGAAGAAGACTTGGTTCCTGTGGAGATGCCTGACCTGGGACTGTCTGACCTCTCAGGCTCTGACGGGGAAGGAGAGGGAGACAGTGAAGAGGAGGAGGAGGAGGAGGATGAAGAAGAAGAGGAGGAAGGGAAAGAGAAAGAAGAAGGGAAAGAAGAAGGGAAAGACGGGACCAGTGTGGAACCAGCCGATGGAGAGACTGAGGCCCCAGAGCCCACGACCGCTCTGACCGGCAAGACAGACGCAAAGAAGAAGCCACGCGCGACGATCCGTCAGCTGGATGAAAAGATCAACAAGTACAAGCATTTCCTGGACCGGGCCCAAAACAAGTGCTTCTCATCAATCCGGTAAGACTACACTCACATTATTTATTTATTTTCTGTATTGCCCTAATTTTAAACATGAAGTTGCCAGACCGAGAGATGCATGATTAGTTGACCGTTTCAACCAGCCGCTAAACCCCTGAGGACTAGCAGTCGTCACTTTAACTTTTCTTTTGCTCAACTTTGGCACACTAATATGTTATTTGATCTGTTGTTGAATTCCAGCCGACACACTGAAGAACACAGTGCATAGACACTCTGCGCCATATTGAATCACTCTGATTTCCAACAGATACCAACAGGAGTAAACTGTTTGCTCTGTTGGCTAATGATCCACTTTTTTCTTCTTCTCTACGCAGGATACCCAAGGCACTTGCTGAAAAAGCATTCGCAGACATCAAGGAAAAACAAGCTGCAGCACAGCTTAAAGGTATTCTATCCACATGTATGACTTTGTATGGTGCTGATCGCATGTTTTTATCAGAGGTATGACATTTGTTGTTCAGGTCCAAAGGAACATTCATGTGAACAAAATCGAAAATATAGAAGCCATACAAATTGGGCTGGTCAGGCTGACAATAGGCGCTTTCACACCGGAGTACTTTTCCCCGTACTTTTCCCATTTAGTTCCGATAGTTCCTGGGATTTTGCGTTCACACCAAGAAGAGAACTTAGTTCCTGAGAACTGTTCAGTCCCTGCTAGAGAGGTGGTACTTTCCTGGGGAGAAAAAAGTTCCAATTTCTGATTGGCTGGGCGAATTGCAAACCACACCCCGTAAAACTCTGAAAAGTTTTGTGAAACCGCCATTGTATTTACTGGCATTAGCATTAGCCCCGCGCACCAACGGAGAGAGAATAACTTATGGCAACACACAAAAAAAAACTGGGAGCGGTGGAGATGAGGAGGTGTCGGCGTTCTGGCGATTTACTCGGAAGGCTTCAGTAGAAGCTGCTGGGAGTCCCAGCAGCTTCTACTGAAGCCAGTCCCCAACTCCGGGGACTTCGGCCGGGGACTTCGGGTGGCAGTATACGCCGTGAAGTTGTTTGCGGCCTGCCAGTAAACCCAAAGCAGAAGAAGACGAAGTGACGTCAGCGGCTTAATTTGCGTAATCTTCCCTCAGGGAACTTATTCCGGTGTGAACGCGATCTGCTCTTTAGGTCCATGGGGGTACTAAGTGCTGGGAACTAAGTACGGCAAAGTACTCGGACATTGTGATCCATCCAGGCACTCAACTGACTTGTCAATTTTTGTTTGAATTCAGCTGTAATCCAGAGAAGCAAGAAGAGGAGATCTGAGGAGGAAGAGAAGTCTAACCAAGTCCAAAAGCTGACGTCTAAACAGGTATGCAGTGTTTGTTCTCTCTGGCGTCAAACAGGTCTTTCTGGGTCGACGCGGTAGGTGAAGGATTTCTCTTACTGATGAGACAGGAATGGAGTTGAAAATCTAATTTTTTTTCTTTATCTTTATCCCTTTCTACAGAGAAGAGCGATTGACCGTGCTCAGAAGGGGAAGAAAATTGGCGTGCGCTATTACGAAACAGCCAATGTGAAAAACAAGAACAAGGACAGAAAGGCCCCAGCGTCTGCCACAGAAGGCCAGAAGTCCAAAAGAAGAAAGCACTAGACTGGCATCGTGAAACACATTTGTAATAAATCTTTATTTAAACTTGCCAAAAGCCAAGTTTTTTTTTGAAAGTGTGGAGTTAACAGAAGGTGGAATGCTAACTTAGCATTAAATGGTCTGTATCAAGTGGTCACTTGCTGCCTTGTCTTGATGACTGTTTTTATCTTGCCTTTTGAAACTCCTTCTCCCCTTCAGCCCAGAACTGTTTTTGAATGACATTTCATTCATCATTTACAGGACAGGTGTAATGCTCTCTTGATCTTAAAGAAAACTGTACGTGTCATGTCATGCTGTAATAAAAAAACGTGCTAATGACACTCACTTCTGTTTATTCAATTGATCATTTAGAAACAAGACAAAAGACACATTTACTAACATTGTGTACTGGGAAATGGTAACGCATCTTGTTTGGCGGAGTTACTTCTTTGGCGTAATGATCCCTTCCAGTTGGTTCTAAATAGAAAGAAAAATGTCAATTCTGAAAACAGGCAACACGGCTACTATCCGTGTTAAATCTAAAGAAGGTGCTTTTCTTGTTTTATTAATAAACCATACCTTGAGCTGCTGGTTGGTTCTCTTCAGGAAATGAATCTCTTCACTGTGCTTCTTTTCCTCCACCTGTCGCTTCTCATTTTCTCTCTTTTCAATGGAAACGCTTTTAGCTTTCTCCTCATTCAATTGCTTCTTTAACTCTTGTTTCTCATCTCCCAGTTCAGAGATCTAGGGTATGTGAAAAGAAACAATTGTAATTTAGTTCCAGAATAAAATATTTCGAAGGTTCTACCGCCGTCCTTATTTCACAATAACTCTTAAAGTGAAATGGTGCCCTCTGCTGGATACTTTACTGAGCTGTTCCTGTGGCTTGAGATCAGTGGAAAACTAGTAAATCTCTTATTGCATGTTGCAAAACTCTCAGATTTGGGGGTCTTTGTGCCCCTTATTGTCTTGGCAGTTGTAAGTCATAACAAATAATTAAATGTCCTTACTCTTCTCTCCATGTCGTCCTTGCCCTCCTCAGCCTGCAGTGCTTTCCTCATTCCAAAAGCCACGCTGCTCTCATACAGTGTCTGGTAGGCGGCCATAGTCATTTGAATCTCATCTCTGACCCTCAACAGAAGCAGACCCCTCTCGGCACAATTGATGGTCACCTGTCTGATTAGCTCATCTTAAAAGAAAGTTGGAAAATCAGACAGTTAAGTTAATGTTGTGAGTGAAAACTGCCTTCATTTGATAATAGGAACATTGTTCCATCAGAAGTAAGACTACAAAGGATATAAATCCAGCGGTGTATGAAAACCTAGATAAAATCCTTGGCCTTACGCTCTGAATGTGTGTGGAAGGCATTGTATACATCTATTATTGTAACCTCAGTAGTCACCAGCAAGCATCTCAGATTCTTTCTTACCAAAGCACTGGGAGAAGAGCTCCCTGCGGACGGGGCAGATTCCTGTCTGTCTGGCCTGCCTCTGCTGCATCTTGATGTCCAGCAGTTCCTCTAGGCGAATAACATCTGCTCGTGTACAAGGTGCACTGGATACTTGTTGAACCCACAATTCGTTTCCCTCCATCCATTCCCTGCAATGGTAGAGGTTTGGATTAATGAAAGCATGGTTTGAGCTTGTTAAGCAAAACATGTTGAGGGGAAAAGCAATACCTGGGTGGAAGGATGGAATTGAGGATCTCATCATTTTCCTGCTTGGTGGCATCAGCAGAGGCTGATTTTGGTTTTGGGGGTTGGGGAACAGGGCTAGAGTCAGCAGGCTGCTGAGGGCTTACTCTCAAAGGCCGTCCCTGTGGTGAACAAAATGTAAGTTGCATTAAACGTTACATTTCTCAATTAAATCATGTTTTGAAAATGACCAATACATTTGCTTAGTCGTGCATTAAAAGCAAAGTGATAACAGTAGTATTCTTGCAGATGTTATGCTGATGTTGCCACAGACAAAATACTAGCTGGTGTAATGTGAATGAGTGATCAATATAATATTTTTCCTGTTTCAGACTTAAATCCACTTTTAAATAAACAAAAAAATATTAAATTATGAATAGCCTACAATAGACGATTGATCTTATTTAATATGTATTTTTAAGCCAAGTTCAGACTACACCAAACACCTAAAAACAATATAGCCTACAATGTGTAACACAATCATACTTTTCATCACTTTCTGACTGCAACCACTTCAATCCTCAATCCAAAATTATTTTAGCCAGTTAAGGTGTTAACTAAACTCGGTTTTCTGGTTGAACTTACCTTTGGTGATTTTCTGTCTGTGCTTTTGCTGACCAAAACAGCATTCTCGTATTTCAGGAGAGACTCGGCAGGTGGAATCATTCTGTCAACTATAAAAAAATAATAAAGTTATTCACTAAATCATAAAGGTCTTGCTGTGAGCTTCACTTACAGAAATACCGTTGTGTGGTTCCGAATAAAATGCTCATTGTTTGCGTTGTTATGACAACAGCGTATCGGTGTTACATTTTGATTTGTCCGGTTGGGATCAGCGGTTTGGTTCAGAAACACAATCTTCGTTTATAATATTTAGGACAAACATTAATTAGAAGAAAGAAGAAAGACTGTACTTGGTGTTACATGAATTATACGCCCGTTTTACGACTTGTGTATGTGTTTAAGGGAGATCGCTGTTTTAATTGAAATACTCGTTGTAAAAAATGTTAATATTTCGTCCTGTCATTTTACACAACACCAGCTTTATTTAAGATGTTACCGTAACGTAAATGATAGACTGAGTCATACGGAACCAAAATAGACCCCTGTAAGTCAACACGTCGACGTCATTTCTCGGTACACCACAGGAAACGGAAGTTTCCAAATTGAGCATAATAGTCGAAGTTTTGTAATCGCTACGTTTTGGAGTTTGCTTTTGTTTGTTTTTTTACATGCTGTTGGGCGAACGGTGATGTTTGATTAGTTACACACCGGTTGGATTAGTCTACATACATTAGAATGACCAAAGAAAAGCGACACAGGAGACGGGAATCCCCGGAGCGGGAGCCCAAAGTTAAGATAAAGCAGGAGCAGGTGAGCCCTGTTAGGCCACAGAGAACACGCCGCTCCCGGTCCAGATCCAGCGGCCACTCCAGTCCACAGAGGAGAAGAACCAGCAGGTATTTTCTATTTTAAGTCATTTTATTACATTGACAGACACAACATACGCGTTCGCCAGTGAGTTTAAAGATGTTTTGCCTTCCGAACAAACGCAGCTAACGCGTTAGCACATATTAGCTGCATCTGAACGGCAATCGTTTGTTAGTTTGCTATGTAAACGTCTTTACAAAGTTAATGTAGGGCCTTTTTTTGTGTTCTTCGTGTAGGTCTCCCGCCAGGACAAGAGACCGTTCACCAGTTAGAAGAGAGACTTCTCCCGTCAGACGAGCAAGCAGATCCACCAGAAACAGAAGAAGTCGCACTCCTCCACAACGTGGTGCTGATGTCAAAATAAAGCGGGTGATTAGGTCCTACATTATTAGAAACATGCCATATAGCTTTTATCATTGGATATTTCTTGATTCAGAGGTTTAAGTTACTCCACTTTTTCTTTCCAAGTGGCACATACAAGTGGAGGCTACCAGTGTTTATCTTATATTTGCACCTTAAACAGCTGCTTCTGTATTGGCATAGTACCTAAGAGTATGTCAACTATGTTCCTGCGACAGATACCACTTCTCACTGGCTCGCTCATTTAAATTATATTATTTCAATGGCTATTTCTACTTGATAAAAATAAACAAATACACTTTTTAAAAAAACGTAACAATTGAATGTTTTTGTAGTTCAAACTTGGCTCTGCTCGCTACATTGAGAGCCAGAATTTGGTTTAATCGGGCCCGATAGCATAGCTACCACATGGGAATTCGCCAATGAAGAATGACTACACATGGTTATTGAAGGCAAGTCAACTCATGATTACCTGCTCTAACTGTCGATTTACAAATAATCTCACAGGAGCAGGATGAGCCACGGACCAGTGGGGAGGATAGGAGGAGAAGAAATGAGCAGCCAGAAGAAAGGCGGAGCAGGTGGGAAACAGACAGACCACGGGAAACGGACAGACCACGGGAAACAGACAGACCGCGGGAAATAGACATACCGCGAGAGAGAGACCGTGGCAGAGACAGACAGCAAGAGCAAGAAGCACTTGGCTCTCAACAAGATGAAAGACGGCAACACGATGAGCGGCGCAGAGAAAACCGCCAGCGGCGTGAAGAAAACCAAGAACAGGATTTTGGACAGTCTGAAGGAGGAATTGAAGACCCAGATGACCCGCCTCCTGACAAAGAGAAGCCCAACTTTGGACTGTCCGGGGCTCTAACGGAAGATACCAACACATTCCGGGGGGAGGTGATCAAGTACAATGAGCCACCTGAGGCTCGCATTCCCAAGCGCAGATGGCGACTGTACCCTTTCAAGAATGATGAACCCCTTCCAGTCATGTACATTCACAGACAGAGTGCCTATTTGTTGGGGCGGCAGAGAAAAATTGCTGATATCGCCATTGACCACCCTTCCTGTTCCAAGCAGCATGCAGTCTTCCAGTATAGGTAAGAGTAACAATTATCAGCTATGTGTTTTTTACTTTGCTGTGCTATACATCTCCTATTTCAATCTGTGTCATTTAAATAGAACTCCTCTGCATGCTGCATAACACTTGGGAAAAAAAATGTGTTGCATGATTTAAACTGGTCTTCCTTCCTGTCTGTTTCTCTGCAGGCTGATGCCGTTTACACGTGCAGACGGCACCAGTGGCCGCAGGGTGAGGCCTTACATCATTGACTTGGGTTCTGGCAACGGCACCTACCTGAACAACCAGCGCATCGAAGGTCAACGCTATTACGAGCTCAAAGAAAAAGACGTTATCAAATTTGGCTTCAGCAGCCGCGAGTACGTCCTCCTGCACGAGTTCTCAGACACAACCGAGGTGGACACCAAGGAGGAAGAGGAAGATGATGATGAGGGCCTTGATGAGTAAATTGTTCTCAAAAACCCATTTGTTCAGTTCATTAAGGGTAGATAACATCTGCATTAGTGTTCAGCAAATGGCTGTTTTTGCAGGGAATGGAACAATTAATGGAACTGGTAAATGTTGGACTTTATTTCAATAATGGAACAAGGCTGGTTTGTATATTCTGTAATTACCGAACTGTTGCTTAAACCTGCCACAACTGTCTCAGAGAAGACTTCCTATTCTCAGGTTGTTTGTGTAATATCTGTGTAAGCGTTACTGATCTCACATCTGACAGCGCTCACTATACAAAGTGCTCGGTGCCAGATAAAGATTCTTGCTAAATAAAAAAAGTTAATTTTATATTTTTGGATCACAGCACTCGTACAAAGTTTAGCAGAAGACTGATCTCTTGTCTTTGTCCAGGCTGTATATATCAATGTACGATACGTGGAATGTGTTCTCTAGATTCATGTCAAATAAGCATTGCTTATTGTCAGAGTAAAAACATTACAGACATTCTTGTAATGATGTTGCCTTTTTTGCTTTGTAGAGCAGGGGAAAACTAGTTGATTCAGTTGTGTTTCCTTTCACCAATACTGTGTGGATTTACAGACTCCCTGTTTTAATTTTTTTTAATTTTTGAAGCCGACAGCATTCATAGTAAATTTCCATCTATGTACTTTGAATAAAGATCGTGAACATTTGGATTGTCTGGAGAGTTTTAATGTAGACGCCTCATCAGAGAGATTTCCATGTTATATGTCAACAATTTTAATGTAAGATTACCAAACATTAAGACTAAGCACTTGTAAATTGTGATTCAACATTTACTGGGAACATTTCGTGGAAAACTTTCTTTCAGCATATCTACTTTTTGTTTAGCGCAGCTGTGTCGGGGCTTGGAACTGAACTCCAAGCTTTCCTCAGATTAAAGTAAATATTTAAGAATCTGTCCTTAAATGTCCACATGTTCAAACCTTGTTCAGCTATAATATTCAATTCTCCCTGACCCCTGAATGCTCTCTCTTTTAGTTTGTTTTGTTTGAAGTAAATTACATGAAGAAAAATCAGACAGGTCAACAGAAGAAGAAGCAAGAGAAATTACAAAATAACATGTTTTTTCTGCATCTCTAACTTGATATATTTTTTTAAACGGATCAAAGACAGGTTTTTTCATTGTTGATATGCAAGAAGACATTATTTGAACGAAATAAATAATTATCTTTAACATGTTGCATTATTGTTGGGACACAGCAACCATCCCATCAGTGTTCACCTATAACCATCGGAATTGAATAACAGCTTTCACAGCAGAGGTCATGCGAGAGTCGAGGCTTGTGTGGCGTTCAGTGTCAGTCTGAAAATGTCAGCGGGCGGAGCAGGGGAGGAGAGGAGGGAGGGAGAGGGCGGGTCGAGTAGGGAAGAGTCCGGGAATGGTAGTGGATATGTGCTGTGAGCGGGGGCGTTGACACACCTGGGGAATTACAAGAACTAGTAACCGTGTTGTTAGATTTCTAATGGAAGTTGTCACTACAAAGTTCATGCATTGAGTTTCAGCTGCGGGATAAGTGACAACATGTACACAACGGAGCGCAGGAGAATGAGCCTGCGCGAGCTGAAGAGGAAAGATCCAGTGTGGGTGTCTGCTGGAAGTTTGTGGCAGGACTCTCTGGCTATAGAGCTGACTGCCAACGGCTCGGTTAGACCGATCGTTTCCCCACGCAGTCGGACCAGGGCTGTCTCCGTGGCATACATCTTGAACGAGGACGCGTCCGTGCCGCAGACTGAGGAGAACTTATCCCTGAAATGTCTGAAGGAAGCTTGCGCGGACGCACAGGCAGTTTTCAAAACAATCCCATTTGAGAGAATATCCCTGGGCACCACGGACATCCTGGATAGTTTCTACAACGCAGGCAAGTGCAGGCATGCTGACTGCGGGGTAATTTAAGCACTAGGCCGACCCCGTTGACTAACCCGTCCTGTTTAACCCCCCCCAGATGTAGCAGTGGTGGAGATGAGTGACACTTTCTGCCAGCCCTCCCTGTTCTACCACCTGGGAGTGAGAGAAAGTTTCAGCATGAACAATAACATAATACTGTATTGTTACAAGCAAGATAGTGATCTACCGGCTGTTAAGGTACCTTAATGGCAACACGTTCTTTACATTTTTGTTGTGAATCAATGTGATGATTTCACCAGGGCTTGATCAATGGATTACAAACTGCCCTTCCAAAAAAAAAGCAGGTGCACTGTGTAAAATAGTTAATATTGATAATTGGAATAATAACTGATAATGTGTGGCATACTATGCACCACTTAAAGAGGCGCTTGAGGAGAGTCTTCCATTATTAGTTAATGAGTGTGAGATAATGGAGCCAACAGAGACACACAATTTATTTTTGCCCTAAACTCACCTAAGTGTGTTGATCTGGACATGGCTGCAACTAATAAATAATGTAATTATTCATCATTCTGCTGATATGACTAATCGATGAATGGTTTTGTGTTTAAAATGTAAGAAATTATTGAGAAATGACCATCACTATTTCCTAACAATGAAGGTGACTAACGTTCAAATGAATGTTTACATGATTTTCAGTTTTTTTTCAGGCCAATGGCACTTAATCACAGTTATGTAAAAAAAAACAGTTAATACCTCTAAAGGAAATCATGTAATTCATGAAATGTTATAGATACAAAGAGATTTTATAGAAAAATACTATGTAGATGATAAAGGAATTTGAAATCACAACCAAATCCATTGTTTTCATAGAGTTAAATGAAATGAAACCTTAAACATTAAAAGCAAAAACACATCCATGATTCCTCAGCCCAATCGAGGTCCCCTAGTGTGTATTGAACCCTGCATGATTGTGTATTTTTTCCCTTTAGGAGCAGTGTGGAAGCTACACGTTCCTCCCTTACGTAGTGTCCCCTCAGGGAAAAGTGTTTGCCTGTGATGCTGCGATGATGAACGGTATCAATGAGTTGATGCTGCCTAGTTTCCAGCTGGAGCCCCTGCTGACCCCGCTGGTGGACAGACTGGTGCATCTGCTGAACAATGTGCACGTTCAGTCCAGGTCAGATACACACAGCAGGGCTTTGTCTACCATTGTGTGCTTTACCAAAAACGTCATCGTCTCAAGATTGCACATGCATTTGCTGATTTGTAGACAGACATTAAAATGTTTTCTCCTCTTGTGCTGACAGTGAGTACTTCCGGGAGTCGATCAGGCACGAGATCCGTATGGCACGGGAGCGGTTTAGTGGCCAAGCCCTGAGTGAGGAGCTGAGCCGCATCCAGAAACGCTTGGACAGTGTCGAGCTGCTCACCCCTGATATAGTCACCAACCTGCTGTTGTCCTACAGAGACAATCAGGTGTGTGTTTACCTCATAGACTGCACGGTTTACGTGTGCATATTAGTAAATGCTCTGACATGGAGTGTGTAAAAGCTTATGGGCTACAACCAGTTGTTATTCTATTTCTTTAGTCATCTTTCAAATTATTTAGTTTGAGAAATGTATTCATTTCAGGGCCAAAAATGTCATATTACAATTGTTTGAGAAAAATAACAATTATCCTAATATTGAAGATTCAGTGAATAACAAAACTGCACACCTTCACGTAATCACACCACAACATGTTTGGGATTTATGGATCATTAACTGATTAATTGACTACATTTAAGGAATTTTTGCTTAAAACACAATAAAAACCAGTGTTTCGTGGTGAAAATATTAATGTTAAGGACATTCGAGCTGGCAAATGAGCGGGTAACTCCAGTTGCCAGTATCATAAAGCTGAACCCTCTATACATGCACATTAACTATCCACATTGCAACAGTAGAAACTACAAATCTGGTTGAAAATCAGCAATGTTTCCCTTAAAAGTAATCAGATATGACCCAAAACCCATGATCAGATTGCATGTCAGGTGTGATGTAGACCACAATTAAGGTTTCAATGGTTATTGTTGATAAATCTAGTAGTCATATACATTATTAAATGTAATTAGATGCATGTTCAATAATGCATTGTAATTATGTACCCTCTCAGGACTACGATGCCATAATCAAACTGGTGGAGACTCTGAATGACCTGCCCATGTGTCTGGTAGCCAGACATCAGAATATCAAGTTTAACTACATCTTTGCTCTAAACAGGTACCCATAAAGCCCCCATTGCATTTATAGTTAGTTGTATTATAGTCTCTTCTCTTGTTTACATACAACAATGTTGTACCATTCCCAGCCTGTAGCTTGTATTTGTCTTGTATGAATAGTAGATATGATGGATTTTGTTCAAGCTTATCACAGCTGATATCAACAAATATTTCAGGAGGAATCGCCCTGGAGATCGCGCTAAGGCTTTGGATGCAATTCTACCCATCGTGGATTCGGGGGTGAAAGTGGCGTCAGACATCTATTGCCTGTGTGGAAGGATCTACAAAGACATGTTCATGAGCTCTGGGTTCACTGATGAGCGCAGCAGAGACCAGGCCTGCTATTGGTACACACGCTTTGTGTTTGTGCATATTACAAACTGCTAAAAGTGGCATTTGTATGTTTTCTGTACTTTACTACATACTCCACTTAAAAGTACTTGCTTGTATGTGTTTTCTGTTTATGTTGAATGACTATTTTGATGTAACTGATTCCCCCTATCTGGCAGTGTTCTATTATAATCCATTATTGCTCTTTTTATATCATTTGTCAGGTATGCAAAAGGGTTTGAGACAGAGCCAACTCTTCACTCGGCCATCAACAACGTGGTCCTCCTGATGGCAGCTGGACATGAATTTGACACTTCTATTGAACTGCGCAAAATAGGTGCTTACTCCTTTCTGCTTTCTTTATCAGATAGAATCCATGACAAATATCAGCTTTGATCAAATATGGCAGGAATACAAGTTTATGGTCTAAGGATTTATTGTGTCAATGAGTTTATACTACTTGCACATTACACTTTATACTGTAGGTGTATTACCCTTATACTTAGTTATGATGCAATCCATTATTTGAATGTGAGAGTCCACAATTCAGGCTAGGTTTTAAATGTTTAAGATACAAAAACCAATCATTGAAAAGCTTATTTCATGTCAATTTCACAATACACATCATTAATTAATTTATTTATTTGTTCATTTTTAGAATGTCTGTAGTATTACATCACTATTGCCTTTTGTTATATATACCCGCTCGGCACCCCAGAGAATGACTGAGCTTATAGTTGGACACAGATCCATCATCTGTTGATACACATTATAAGCCTATTAGTTTGTAAATATATGTGTTATTTCGTATGAATTTGTTAATGAATTGTTTTGCTCTGTGTTGGTGTTCAGGTGGGACTCTAAGCACTCTGCTCGGTAGAAAGGGCAGTCTGGAGAAGATGAAGGATTACTGGGATGTCGGCTTCTACCTTGGGGCAAACATCCTCGCTAACGAACATCGGAAAGTCATCATGGCCTCTGATAAACTTTACAGACTCAAGGCTCCTGTATGGTGAGGCCTTAATTCTGGATTAGTGGTAATCATGTACATTGTTGGATTAAAAAATCTAAATCCCTGTGAATAAGAAAGCATTCAGAGGGATTTTGGTTTTATAGCCATATTATGTTTTTGTGGATTAATGAGTTTAATACTTCTTTCAGGTATGTGGCATCCATCATGGAGACGTATATCCTGTACCGTCAATTTGCCA